TCTCTCTCTCTCTCTCTCTCTCTCTCTCTCTCTCTCTCTCTCTCTCTGTGTGTGTGTGTGTGTGTGTGTGTGGCGCTGTATTTGTGCCAGGTCTCCCTGTCCCTGTTGGCTTCTTGCATGTGTATGTGTGCATGCGTGGATGTGTGTTCGTTGAACGAACTCCACAAAAGAAAGGGTAACTGTGGCAGACTGTTTCATTGGACTTTCACTGGCTCATCAGGAGGTTGAACCACGACAGTCTGCCAAGAATGCAGACTGATGGGTAAGGACTGACCACGTTGTGCGAAGGTAATGATTCCGTTAGGAAAAGTGGTCGACTTTACTCAAACCGGCCCTGCAATCTCAGCAGACCGCGCTGTTCAGGCGCCTGAGTGGGTGTGTGTGTGGGTGTGCGTCGAGTGCGTGCATGTGTAGAGTGTGTCAGCACAATCGTTATACTGGGAACAGTGCCAAACACTCATCGACCATTGACTCCCGCTGACAGGCCGCTGTAGCAACTTCTTGTCCTGTATCTCTGCCAAATGGCAGGTACACGTAATCAAGACTTGGGAGAAGATGAATAGAGGGGGGAGGAAATAGTAGAGAGCAACAGCAGGAAACTGCTTTGCAAGGCTTAATAATAGCCTGAAAAAGGACTGGACAGAGGAAGGGAGCGAGCAGTGATGTTATATGAGCAATCAACGATAGCATAGCAGCATCGGAGAGGGGTGGTGCACCTCTTAAAGCGTTTTTCGTAGTGTGCACTCATAGCGACTAATCAGAGGGTCCCGAGCCTGACTCCCAGGAGACAATAGAGAATGAATGAGGAGGTTCGGAATGAATCGGAAGGCAGTGCAAGCAATGAACTATGAAGGAATGGGAGCACTCATGAAAGAGAGAGCGGGAATAGGGGGAGGAATGAAGAGAATCACGTGCCAGCTGGTTGCCGATTACTGCAGCAGAGATCCCCTCCATTCTTTCCGTGACCATGCTGGGCTCACAAACAAACACACTTGCTGTTGCCGAAAGTATGTCACTCCAAAACGGAGGTACAAGTCGCAGAATGCTCCACCAGTCGCATGAGTGTACTTGTGTCCTCAGAGCAGCGTTCCTTGAGCGAAGCAAGCTATCCACCGTTTTTGGCCGATACTGTGTTACAACTTACAACTGGGTGCAAAGTGCTGCACTACAGTAGCACCAACATGCTCGCTGTACGGAGGAGCGGTTGTAGACTACCGGAGACCAATCTGCTAGTATTGAAAGTATTGGCAGTGTCGACCTTGCAGTGGGGGAGAAGAATAGAGAGAGAGAGAGAGAGAGAGAGAGAGAGAGAGAGAGAGAGAGAG